TTCCTCCTCTGCCCGGTGGCAAGGCTAAAGAGGCTAGAGGGGAAAAAAATTAATGAGAGAAATGGACACAGTGAGAAGGAGAAGAAGCCGCACAAAGGAGAGTGAAGAGGAGGATGGAAGAGTAAAGGGCACTTACTGGAGAGTAGGGGGAAGAGATGAACAGGAAAGATGACAGGAGTGAAGGTTGCCATGATCTTGGATTCCATTGCTAAGCACATGAACATGAAACAGGAAGAAAGAAAGAAAAACAACAACATCATGCCGGGATCAGCGTCCAACACAAGCCACAGCTGCAATTCACATCACTATGCATGGGCAGCACACTCTCTCTCTCTTTCGCACACACACACATACGCACACTGCAGCCGTGAAACACACACTTACCCAACGTTGTGCATACCCTTGTTTGCATATACTCGTAACCATTCACACTATAGCCACAAACCCCACACACTCTGCTCTGCACAGTCTGTCACTGAGGGTTATGACACTCTCACTCAACCAAACACACACAACCACAAGGACCGTAATTAAACAAACACACGCCCAGTCACTGAGCGTTGCATATTTATGTACAACCTCACTGGTCGAAAGCAATTAACTTCTTCATCTTCTTCTTCTACTCGACATCCTCATATCTCACACTAAACAGCCCCTGCCAATCAGCATCATACATCCTGCAGTAGCCTAAATGTTTGTCACTCAGGCATTTGTGTGTTTACCCCCTAGTGTTGTAGCAACTTATCTTTAGTTTTGTGCATCAAATGTTAAATCAATTGTTCAAATGGTCCCTGTTGTTGTTGAAATGGATTTCTGTCCTTGTTTTAATTTTATTTGGGATATTCAGAAGGGCTGAATAGTTGGCCCCTGCGTGGGGTTCTGTCATGAGTTCCTGGTGCTGCTGATATATGATCCAGGTGCATAAAGATGGCGCCTTCCAAGTTTGATTTCTTTATGGGTTTTTTTTTTTTACCACTTCATCGTTGCAAAGTGTCCAAATTTCAACAGGCGGTCTTGCCAGTTGGCACAGAGGTGAAGATGAGACAGTCTAGCTGCTGGATTGCATTTGTTGTTGGATTTAAGTTCAGTTTTATGTGGTTGTTTAATCTGAGAGGCACAGATGTTTTGTATTATTAGACATTTTGGCAAACCTCATCCACAACAATGACAATAAACTCTTGAAGCCACTGAAAAACTTCCATAATACCAATGGTACCATGTCTCCTGCTAAGAAGGCAGGTGTAGCCCAAAGAACACGACTACCTGGGCACAATTCACGCTGCAAAACTAGGCATTGGCCTCAGAATGACAAGCTAGATTGCATGAATAAATTACTCTGACACGAGTCCAATGCAGCATCAAACCCTCCAACTTGAAAGTGTCAAAGTAAAGTTATTCCAGTGCTTCACTGGGCTATGTATAGAGACAACAGCTGAAATGGATTCTGGGACGGAGGAAAGCAAACGTTCATATTCACGGGATTAATCTTGCTAAGCGAGAGAAGGGGGCAGGCTGTGAGCCACCAACATCGTCACTAATAAAAACAATATTTTGCTTTTCTCTTCATCTCAACTGCGCCTCACTATCGCACAAACGGCTCTCCACTAATTAATTCCTGCTCTTACTTAGTTGCAGCTGTCGATTCTCTCATCTCGCAGACGCGGACAAGTGGCGAACAGGTTCTCATTTCAAAACCCGGCACACTGTACACATTCTTTGAGTTCGCATGGGGCGCCTTGTCATCAAAGGGCCTTTATTAAGTGTCTCATACATTTACACATTGGGGAACAGTTTAAACTTGGCTCGTGATTAACGGAGTAGATATATCTATCCCAGAAACCAATGTTAGGCTGACATCTCAACATCTGATGTGAAGTTTAAGGGCCCATGTCTACAGGTATTAATCAAAGCCACAAGCCTCTCTCGCTCCAGAGATCCCACATATACACAGGCCTGCTTCCCCGGTCCCTCCGCCCATCCAAACATATACAGCCCATACCTCATAGGCAAAGCTAATTGGACACAATCCACTGCACTTGACATATCTGAGAACTGCAAATCTGCACAGTGTCACCCGAATGATGGATTGCATTTATACTGTTCAAAGTTTTCACAGTGTCAAACACTTCAGAGTACACAGCAGTGGGATGATATCGCTCGTCTGCCAACTTGTCTTTAACCGCATCAAAACTATATTGAATATTATTAAACCCGACTCTTCTCCCACACCTCCGCGCACACACACACACGACTGTCATAATGAGTCGACAACTGGCCTGCAGCTCAGAACGCTCCGAGCTCTGCGTTAGGTTCCACTCCAGTCACCCGTGACATAGAGTCCAGCACACCATGCCTCTCCTCCATGATGACCTTGGGGTCAGGCCAGAATGCCCTCATATAATGAGAGTGCTGTTTGGGGATTTGTTGGACTGTGATAGAGAAAGGGCAAGCACGCGCAATGCACCCTGGGTCTTTGTCTGGGTGTTGAAGGTATTGACGGGCGCTGATCGATGTTAATTGCTAGACAGAATGGCCATATTGACCAGGCTCCCTGGATGAAGAAGCCTGCAGGCCCAGTCAAAGAGAGAGAGAGAGAGAGATACACATAAAAAAAGCTGCTGGGCCCAGACCTACAGCAGCTACAGGGCCCTGACACACACACACACACGGGTCTCATTCACTTTAATGAGTCGAGAGAGGAGCACAAAGGCATAACGTCCATCAATGCCAAGTCTATTCAATACAACAGAGGGGATATGCAAAAAATAGGTGTCCTGGTGTGTGCCTCTTTGTGTGTGTTTGTGCACATGTGAGTACATGCACATGTGCATTTCTGAATAATGTGTGTGGCAAAGTTGGTCTGCTTGAAAGTAAGATGGTTTTTGAGTGTGGAGAAAAGGGAAGGGGACATTTGTGTACGTGAGGATGTGTGTGCACACAAGTTTGTGTGTGTGTCTTAGCTGAGGATCAATAGGCAGGAGCTGCAGAGGCAAAGACATGGGCAATCAATATGCTGGCTGCAAACAGAGGGAGGGCTAGAGCGAGCAGATAAAAAAAACAGCCGGGGAGATAAAAGAGATAGATAGGGAGGACAGAAAATGAATGGGAAAGAGTGATGTGACAGACGGAGAGAGGAAGAGGATGCCTGGCTGGTTTCAAATCTTTTCGCCCCTAACTTTGTAAATGCAGGTAATGCTTTGGTTGCATGAAATCCCACCTTTCTGCAAGTTGAGACACCTGTCAAACATCTGTAACCTTCATCAACTTCACAGCAGGAGCAAGCTGTAAGTCATTTTAAGACTTGCTTGCATGTGTTAAGTGAGGAACAAATCACAGTTGCAATTGAGGTATGAATGTTTGAGCAACAATATGTTATTAAAAACTGTCTATGGCTCCAGATGTGAATGGGGCTTAATTTAAGTCCTTTTATTTCCTTTTTGTTTTTCAACCAAAACGTATGTTCACACGGCTCAGCCAGATACACTAACTCTTGTTTCAAGGAGGAATCTTAGTGTAACAGATATTTTACAGATTTACAACTGGATTATTATCTCAGCATCCTTTTGGAAAATCTACTAACTAACTATCTAAATCTTCTACTTTTGTGTAAAGGATGTGAACAGAGTTGGGCTCATCTGCCTGCTATTTGTTACTCTACCATTGTACCGAGATGTGCTACATTCCCTGTTCTGAACTCTTCCATCTGGGTTTAGGATTACCAGACAGGCCCATACCTCATCACCAGAATGTGGTTCAAATCCTTCTCCACAACATTTACACTTGTGTCCCTTGCAGCAGTATGGTGAGCAGCGAAAAAGCACCGAGACACAGGTGCAAAGACAGAGAGAGCCAGTAGTAGGAAAGAAGGCCAGAGGCTTGTCTATGGAGCATGACTGGAAAGGCATTCAACCACAGTACCTCTACCCAGCCCAGCTCAACCCTGTCCAGTTGCAGAAGTGTGTGTGTGTGTGTGTGTGTGTGTGTGTGTGTGTGTGATTTGAAAGTACAATGTTGAAAAGAATAAGCCTACAACTGGAGCCAAGATAACTGTCCCTGATGTTTGAGGCCAACCCCCTCCCACTTCTATTACACACACACGTACTTTCTTTCCCTCTATTCTCTCTCTGTGCGCTGGTGTGTGTGTGTGTGTGAATGAAAGGTATGGCAGGAGTGTTGTGTTGGCTTGGCTGACCGTCTGCGGTTGTGCGGCGGTGAGAGGGAGTTTTGGGAGCGCAGAGCGGGCGTTGCTGCCGAAATCCCTGAGAAATGTTCGTTTTGGATCCGTGTCCGTGCTTACATACCGCCCTCCCGACTGTCTCTCATTCTCCGTTTCATTTTTCCCTCTTAAGGTTTAACTTAAAAGTTATGAAATGGGGAGTCAAAATACATCACTTGAAAGCGCGGCGACTCTGAAGTGCGTGCGTGTGTGTGTGTGTGCCTGTGCCTGTGCGCACTGCCCTCCACTCTCCATCATAATTTTGGGGCCACTGAGGCTGCAGGGATGAGTTTATCTTCAGGGGAGATAATGGTGGGCAAGAAGTCCGCTTGGTTTTAAGAAAGATGTTCACTTGACTGACGCAGGTGTCTTTGTTTTATGATATTTTCAGTTCAAAACTGAAAACGATTTTGCCACTTTCGGTCAGAGGCATTTTAAAGAGCCCAGTTCATTTGTTCTGAAATGCACATTAAACTCGTATTTTCTGGAAACGACTGAATTCCTCCCGACAACATGACATCATTCAAATTGTTTCCAATGCATTTTACTTGATTCCGGAATTTGCACAAACAAAATATGAGTTGAAACAAAGAAGATCCACGCAGATAACAGTCCAAAAAAAGTTGTTTTGCATTGTGCACACAAGTGACATTATCTTTTTTCAGATCGGAACACTTGTTAAAATTGTTTTTTTTTTGCAGTGTAAGTTGGGTCGGAATCGCATAGCGACTGACTAATCCCATTTTGATCCAATAAGTGTGCATGTGCGTGTGTGTGAGGCAGAGAGAGGGGGGTGGAGGGGGGGAGAGAGAGAGAGAGAGAGAGGTGGGAGGGAGTGAAGAGAGGAGGGAGGATTGATCCGCGTCTGTTAAAATCTTGTTCTGGTTTTTCTTGGAGTGAGGTCTGTGCCTGCCGACGCGCCTCTCCTGTGCAGCCCCCCTCAAGAAGAGCTTTTTATGGAATTTCTGAAAGGGAGAAGGATCTGCAGAACACCAGTGAAGTGGATAAAAAAAACGCACGGCTTTTTGCTTTTTCTCCTCTAGTGTCTGAATGAAGCAGGGAGGCAAATTTAAGGTGAAGAGGGACGGTGCAGGTTCTGGACAGTGAGTCGATCTGTCATTGTGCTTTGGGGTAAACACGTTTCCAGAGCGCCCGTTTTAACTTTTATTTCTTCTGAAACTGGCAAGCTCGACTCCTCTACTCTTGCAGCGGGGAGTTCGTTTTTCTCGGAACGAGGCGACTTTCGTGTTTTCCCCCCTTCAGAGAAACTGCTTAAACTTTCTACGTTTAAAAAAATAAATAAAAAGATCGGATTGCATTTTCCCCCTTCAAACATTTTGGAGGTGATGTCATCGTGCTGTGTTTTGGCTGGTATTGTGTCGAGAGGGTGCAGGGAGGACTACTGCAGGCAGGCGGTAACCAGCGGCTGAGGCGAGCGGGGAAGTCCGGAAAATCAGGTGCAAAGTGCGGCTGTTATTTCCTCACTGTGTCGCGGGTGGCTGAGTCCGCCACCCAGTCACAGCTGTTCCCATCCTCTCCAGTCACCCCTCCCTCCCCCGTCTTTCTTTCCCCTTTATTATCCCCTCCCATTCTCATTCAGCACTCTCCATATACCCCTCTGAGCTGGACCGCTCCGGGACCTTATCACCCTCCCCGTCGGACACAGTTGGTCGGTGTCACCTGAGCCACAGACCCGTTGAGCCAGCGTTGGGGCGCAGTCATGACCGAGGCCGCCCTGCATTACCCTGCGCCCGCAGAGCCCCCGTCTCCAGCCCGCCGTTTGCTCCATCAGCCAGCCCAGGTAGCCCACCTCAAACAGCTCCTGACCCTGCTCTGCTGGGACTAAACCTGCCTCCTGCTCCAGTCTGTGCCGGAACAAACACTGCACCACTTACTTTTAACATCTCACCTAGTACAAAATTCATTTTGGAGACCAGAAGCTTGCTGTCGCGCTGAAACGTTACGCATTGGATTACGCAGAATATTACGCACGCACCACATCTATCCACAGGGCCGAGCATCACTCTGAGGGTCAACAAGGTCGTTTGGAGTTGGTTATCTGTGACGCGTGAGCGCGCTTTCACCTGTTCCTCTCCTTGTCGGGGACGCGCAGCCTTAAAAGCCCCCCCCCCACACACACACGCCCATCCGTCTCTCCACCAGTCTGGACAGCTGTTAGAGGTTGCCCGGCGGTCACAGTGGCACAGTTACCCCGGCCTCATACCCCACATTGTCCGCGACCGCACATTTACCCACGCCGGGGGAACCGGGGCACACCGCCGCCGATGCCAACGGGAGTGTCCGTTGACTCTTTGACTCTGCACAACATCCCACAGAAGGAACTCTCCAGAATATCGGACTGGCTCAGACCAAGCGAGGAGACTGTCTCTGGGCCAAGTTCCATAGTGGAGGGGGGAAGCAATGTGGCCCCTTCTTTCCACGCTGACCGTCTTGTAAGTCCCTTTTATCACTTTATCATGTATCATCTTATCTTTTTCTGCAGTTGTTTAAACTAGTTTTATGACAGGCCTAGGTACAGCTGAAGATAATGGAGAGGAAGTGGCAGTGTCTAAAATTACATCACTCCTCATCAGTCCACATAGAAAACATGCCATGGAAGGGCCCTGTTTTGATTGGCTGACAGTTCAGGGTCACTGGGTCAGAGTCAGGGCCCTGTTACTCATAAAACCTGCCATAAACATCTCCATCACCATCTGCACTTACTTCAGAGATGGCCAAGCAAGCTTAGAAAAGGCCATTTTCCCATCGCCAAGAAAATGCTTTTTCCCCCCCTATTGAAAATATTTCAGAAGTTGAGTCAAATAACACCGGCTTTATCTAGTGGGATAGGAAAATGATAAAGTGCCAAGAGCAAATCTAAGGGAGGAGGATGCAGACTCAGGGGGCTTGAGTTTGCCCATTCGAGGTGTGTCTTGTTAAAAGCCAAGGCATTTATTTTTCTTTCTTTGTGTCGGCTGTACTTCTCCCAGATGGCAGTCATCTCCAGATACTTCTCATTCCTCACACAACCTGGGCAGGGTGTGTGCTGCTGATGGTGTCTGCCTGACTTTCTCTCTCTTCGTCTGTGTCTCCCTCACACTCTCTCCACTTACCCACCTAACTGCCTACATCTGTCTTCTTGTCTTGCTTATACCCCATTTTTCCACAGATACTTGCTCAGATAAAAAGTATGAATTTATAACTGATGAATGATGGCGCCCCTGGCAGTATCCGAGGAGGAGCAGTCTAACTGTTTAGTCTGCTGGTTTTAGATTTGGTCTTTCAGAGCCAATTGTCTCTCCATTCATTTCCCTCTTGCCTATCAGTTTTACCACAGCCACCTCACTTCATCCATGCTGTTTTACCAACATGATCATACTGGAAGTCTTTAGCTAGTGAGAAAAGCCAAGGCTCTTTACTGCAACCTGTTACTGCTCATCTGAAGCCACAGCTCGAGGCCCTCTGCTTCCCTAACCATTGCTTCGCCATGAGCCCTATTACTGCTGATACCATTCACACGCCCACTGGCCTAACCACTATTCTTCACCGAGGGCCCACTGCTGAACATCTGAAACTCTTGCATCGCCCCGAAGCCCACTACTCCAGTGTTGGCCTACCACGCTAACCACTGCTACACACAGCTGAAACCGCCGCACTGTGCTGAGTCCCACCAGGCTGACCGCTCTCACTCCACGCTGCTGCCCAGTCCTCGGTGCTGAGGCCTGCTAGTCTAACCGCAGCCTCCATATGGTAGATCTGCTGGGACGCAGGTTTATGATGTCAGACCCTTGCTTTTTTTGGCAGCCGGCCAAAGCGCACCGGGCTTTCCCTCTCTCCATACCTCCTTCTGTCTTTACTCTCCCCAACTTTTACTCGGCACTCTCTTATTCTCTCGTTTTCTCATCCCTCCCCCACCCCACGGCTGATCCTGTCTCCCTCTTCCCTCTCTCCTTCTCTTTCTCTCTGTGGCTGGCATAATATGGAGTGTCTGTGGTTTTTGTGGGAGCGGGGGAATCCAGTGCTGAGGCACTTTTCCTGCAGTGTCCTCGGCGGCAGTGCAGCTGTGGTGTTTTAACAGCTGAGAGTCCTCACAATGCACAGGCGCTCAGGTTTTTTCGTCTGTGCAGGCAAAATGTGAGGGCCAACACTCTAGTGCATTGCCTGGGATATCTGCATCTATTAGAGCAACTCAGAAATGTTGAGAAAGAGGGGAGAAGGGAAGCAAGATGGTATATCTGTGTATGTTAGTCATGAGGCAGTGACATGTGTTACGACGTGCATGAGTTGAACGCCTCCTCCTCTTTCATTCCCATTATTTATCTTTTTGTCTACTTCTCACGCCAGACCACACTCTGTGGTTACACTACTGTCTCTCATTTTGCCACTTTTTCCTCCTCCTTCTTTTGAGATGTAACATTAGTCTTTTTGACCCTCTCTCTTCCTTCTCACATCTGTGCATCTGCACATTCTTTCTGATTTTATCTATCACTTCTTTTATTATCTGTCAGCCTTCTCTTGCTTAATCTCCCCTCTATTTATTCTTACATCACCTTCCTCTGTCCTGCCCTCTCCCTATCCCTTTGTGTACTTTTCAGTCTACCTCTCTCTCCTCCTCACTATCGCCTTCTCTCAGCAGCACGTATGTCTTTTCTTTGGCCCAGCTGTCAGCTGCCTGCCCCTCCTGTACACACACATACACTCTGCACATCTGTGTGCTTGCCCATGGCAGTGTGGAGGAGTCACCCTGCTAACCCCAAACATAAAGGAAGATAGGAGGCAGGGAATGATAGGAGAAAGGTAGAGTGGACAGAGCGACGGGGAGGGAGAGATAAGGTAGAGGAAAGATAGGGAGGACAACAAGTCAGAGAAAGAGAGTGCAGCAGAGACAGAGAGAGAAAAAGAAAAGGCATGTAGAGAGATAGCAAAAGATGAGGTGGGGAAAGACAAAATTCGTAGAATTGCTTTTCAACCCACACAGTTGGTTCTGAACTTCATCAAGTCTTCAGCCACTAATTCGGAGCAGTTCAAGGACTGCCAGAATAGATTTTGCGCAACACAATCACTCCCTTACTAAAGCTGTAAATAACATTTGATACATCCAAGGTCAAGGTCTAAACTTCAATTAAGCTATGTGATGAAGTGAGAAGAATTTTAATTGTAACTGTAACCAGCTGCTTCAATCATAACTGCCTCAAAATGCCCAGATAGTCAGAAGGATAAGTAAGAAATAAATAATCCATAAACGTTATATCTTCATACAGACAATGCACAGTACTTCTACATGCTACTTCACCACAGCTACTCCTCATCAGTTGATTCGACCATAAATCATCTTTCCTCACGTTTTAGTAGCTCATGTTCTCACTTATTCATAGCATCTCTAAATGTAACCACAGTCAGCTGCTGTCCAAAGCCACATCATAGCGGAGTGTACACCTGTAGTCCAGCCCCAGCTGTCTACATACACCGAGCAGCCAAATAAGCCAGCCCTTTCCCTTAGATGTCCAAACCAAAACATGTTCTAGTCGTCTCGGCATGTTTGCCATTTCGCCACGGTCCAATCAGGTCATTTGGAGGCCAGATTTTGGTGTGGCGAAAGTCACAAACGGGTCAGAAAGTGGGTTTGGACAGAAGGCTGGTAGCGTAACAATAAATACTGTTCTGGGTGTTGTCTGTCTGCCGATCCCTGGACATCTGCCTGTCTGTATGTCAAGTCGCCGTGCCAGCCACACACCCAGCAGTGTGAGTAATCACCCAATAAGGAAAAGAGATGTTGAACAGAAAGAACGGCAGAGAAGAAAGAGATGGAAATGATGGTGTGACGCATGACTCTTCCAACATTCAGTGTTGCTTACATATTTCTAAACTCATCTGTTTCTACTTTTTCAAAGATGTATCCAGATGTTGCTGGTGATGTGCAATCCATTACAGGTGAGAGTCTGCATGCATGACAAAGGGGGATCATACAGTATAAAAGACAAGTTGTATATTGTTAGTAAGTGCAGTTTTTCAAGCATGTTCATGACTCTCTGTGTCTGTATGTGTGTGCCAACCACTGGGTGTGTGTCTGCCTCGGTGTGTGTGTTCCCAGCAGGTACTTGGTGTGGATGGGGTCAACTTCAGTGTGCATGTGGAGAACCAGACGCAGGTGCGAGACACCATGAGTCGGCGACACCACCGGGTGTACCAGCTCTACAGCCGCACCAGTGGTAAACATGTCCAGGTGCTGGGACGCAGAATCAGCGCTCGAGGAGAAGATGGAGACAAATATGGTAAGACACACACACACAGTGGAACACGGGCACAATCGTTGGATGCTTACTTGCAAGCACATGCACATTCACACCAACTAACGGCTGCAAGTACAAAGACTTGAAGGTTGACCAAGTGCATGCATGAACGGATACAGAATGCAACTGTGCAGGCACACTCACAAAAGCCTCCCCAGGCTTTGGCAGAGGGGCAGTGGAGCTTGTCTTGGGAGTACAAAGACCTCATCGACTGGCTGCTGACTCAATGATTCACAAGAGAGCAAAAGAAAGAGAGAGAGACAGAGAGAGAGAAGGTGTTAGAGAAAAAAAGTGTGAGTTAGCGGGAGAAGCCTGGCAGGTAGAGTGTCGGACCGAGTGTTAGAAACTCATCTCCTTCATCGATCCCTCCATTGATTTCTCATCCTCCCTGTTGTCTCCTCTGGATTTAAAACAGCAGGCTTCTCCTGCCTCCCTCCCTTCCTGCATCCTCTAACATCCCCCCCTGTCCATCCCCCACTACCTCCTCCTCTCCACCTTTCTCCGCCTATAATGATGTCTTAAACCATGCACAGAATCAATGGGCAGAAGAAAGACAAGCAGTAATGCTAGAGTTCATATTCCTGTATACTCCAGCGGTGGCTCATATTGTACATTCCGTCCATTCACAAACATGTCAGGTTGCTAACACGCCACTTCAAGCCATAGATGGGACCATAGATGCAAAAGCCTGTGTGTTTATTGACAAATACCACTCCTAAGCTGAACAATCCACCCAAAACTGACCAATAATAGCGATAAGGTATTGCACAGGGGAATCAAGAGCAGAGAGAGAAGAAATCAAGCAAAGAAGGGGCGGATGCATGAAGGCATAAACATGAAGCAAAAGAGCAGAAGGGAAACGAGAGGAGAGTTGGGGGAAGAGAGAGGAAGAGGGCAAGAGGGAGGGAGGTATTGATTTCTCTTGACCCCTTTGTTGACTAAGGTCATGTAGGAACCATTTTAGGGATTTATTTTTAAACAGGCACAAGGGCTCTCTGAAGATGTGTAGTTGGTGAAGCGATACTGCCTGGAAGGGTGAACATGCATGCATCTGCACACACACAAATACACAGAGGTACACGTGCAAACGCATACACACCTTAAAACAACAGTATCGCAGACACTCAGTCTGAGTGTTCTCCTGCTCTTCTCGGCCCCCCGTGCTCCGTCTACTCTTGGCTGTTATCTTTTTTACGAGGCCCATTTGTGGTCAGCAGTCTCACATCCATGTGTGTGACTGGGCTTATCTGACAACCATCTGTCCAGCCAGAGACATTTACATCTGCCTGTGATTTATCTGCACATTTAACAGCGACTATGAAACCTAAAAGTGTGACTCAATGTGAAGGCCTTATCTGGTTTAAAGCCAAATCTGATTTAATGGTGGATGGTAATCTGTGCAATTGGTGTCACACTACTTGGCAGTGGGTTTGTTCGTGTAAGCTTGAATGTGGTTCTTTGCTGCGGCAAGTGATCTCACACAACAAGAAAATAAGTGAGCTTTAAATACGGGTTACCTTTATCTTTCTCCATCTAATATTTACGTGATACAACCAGGCAGTAACCTCAGGAGCTGTAAAATGAAACCAGCATCGGCTGTTCCTCGAATGGCCACTTGAGGCTAGTTTCAAAAGCGAGTCAATCCCCATAGACCTCCATGTTAAAATGCCAAATTTTACAGCAGAAATAAACATGTTTACAGCCTGGTACATAAACAGTTTTGGTCTCTATAGCTAATGTCTCCCTTCATGACATATAACTTACCTGTTTATATGATATATGGCTAACTGCAGCAACCAGGCTTGATTCAGCCCCCCGTAGCTCCACTTTGCCCATTTTGGATTAGCCGCCCACATTGCATCACTTTTCAGAAACGGAGACAATGTTTTATACATTACAACATCACTTTTAGTTATTTAGCTGACGCTTTGATCCAAAGCGACATGTCCGAGGTCGCACGCTTCTGGAGTAACGGTGGGTTAAGTGTCTTGCTCAGGGACTGGGAATCGAACCCAGATCTCTCACACCAAAGCGACACAATGGTGGATGGGTCATAGTGGGAATCAGACCCGGATCTCTCACACCAAAGGCATCACTGTCCCATCCTCACCCCACAGTCTATGGATACAACCTAATAAACCTGTGGAATCCAGTAACTGTATTTCTCTGCATTGCCTGTGGCTCTAATGTCTGTCTGCCCCCTCTGTCTGTCCCTTCACAAGCCCAGCTTGTAGTGGAGGCCGATACCTTTGGTAGCCAGGTGAGAATCCGAGGAAAAGAAACCAATTTCTACCTGTGCATGAACCGTCGCGGCAAGCTGGTAGGAAAGGTGAGACTTTTTTCTTTTAGAGACATGTTTGTGAAAAAAATCTTAGTATCTTACAGTTTCCTGACCAGCCTCTCTTTGTTTTTCCCAATGTGTGTGTTTGTGTGTGTGTGGGTACCTGGGGTTTCTCTGCTCTCTCAGAAGGCCAGTAATCGAAGTGCTGACTGTGTCTTTGTGGAAAAGGTCCTGGAAAACCACTACACAGCTCTGATGTCAGCGCGCTACACAGACTGGTATGTGGGCTTCACTAAAAGAGGACGTCCACGCCGTGGACCCCACACACTCCCCAACCAGCAGGACGTACACTTCATGAAGCGCTTCCCGCCTGGGGAGCAGCCCGACCTCACCACACCCTTCCGCTTCACCACCGTCAGCAAGCGGGGCAAGAGGGTGCGCGCTACCGGGCCCCGCTAGCAGTGGCTAACGCTAGCACCCACTGTCTTCTCATCCAAAGCCTTGACCTGAGCCTGCCAATGGCTAACCCAGTCATCTCTTCTGTCGCACACGACTGAACACCTCCCCTTGTTGGGACAAACATTGACCAGAAACTTGATGAATCATTCATGGGGTTTAGCTTTACACCTACTAATTTGCCACTACAGCCTCTTAGTTAGTGATAATTCCTCTCAGTTTTAGTTCCCTTACTGGACCAACTGGACCTGGTCTGCTTCCCTTCATAGGCCAGAAATACTGACAGGAAACCTGACGTGCAGCCAGAGTCCCAGGCTCCACGAAGGCCTTTATTCCCACAACCACAAAAACCACAAGGCCTTCATGTCTCCTGTTCTGGACCAGCTGGACAATGTCAAGTGTGGGATTACAACTGGACCATACAGAGAGAGAACAAGGGTGGGAAAGACTGACTGAACAAGAAAGTGGGTGCTCAGCCTATGGATAAAGGGAAAACAGGAAGGAGAAGACAGGAAAGCGGCGGAGAGGACAAAGGGATAGAGTGATCTACACAGATCAAACGGACCAATAATGGATTGTTGACATGTGACGCACTTATTTGTCTCACTGCTAAAACTAGAACTTTGAGACTGTTGGATGAGTGGAAGGACGGATGACAAAAGGATGAATGAGGGAATGATCGAGTGGGTGACTTACCGAATAATTGGATACAAGAGTGTGTGTGTTTGTGTGTGAGGGTGAGTGCACCAACAACCGTGAGTGAAGCTGGATCACGAGGGACTCTGGAAAGGGAACATCCAGTCCCTGCATGAACCCGTGGCAACTCACCGCAGGGACTGTAGCTTCAGGAACTAGAATGTATAAAAACCAAGCTGCACCAAAAACAGCCAGCCAATCACAGCAAACCAAACCAACGACCGACCAAAGACAACTGGAGACCTTCTTCATGACTCTTCCCCGTGTCTGGCACCCCCACCCCCAACCTACCCCCTCCTGAGGACACTACACCCTTAGCTTATAGGTGCAGAGGGTGATGAGCGCAGGGGCGAGCATGGCGGGGAGGGTGCCTTGTCGATTAGCATTGCTATAGAAACGACCCAGGGGATGATGTTCCCGTGCGATACCGTGGATACAGAATGCTGCTACCAGGACATTCAGTGGAACAAACCAAAGTCTCATGCATACACAGGAGAAAAAATATTAAAGGGAACAATTTATTGAAAGTTATATATATTATATATAAAAGAAGACAGAAACCATAAATAAGCAATCTTACTATGATGGTTACTATAATTATTACGATAAAATTATTTCATTTATTTATTACAGCTCTGTGTGCAGCAGTCTTTCTCGACTCAGTAAACCTTACAGAAACATTTCCTGTGTCTCTCTGTGTCTTTAAACTGCTTCTTCACATGCTCCCTTTTCTGTCTAGGAATATATTGTAGGAAGAGATTCAAGTTCACCGAGGCTCCAGATGTTAGGTCGGGTGGCTTTAGTGCTCAGTTATATGACGAAAAATTTATTGGCAACAATTTGGATAATTAACAATGATTTATGTCGTGTTTTAAGCGAAAAAAAGACTAACATTTCCTTGTTCAAGCCAGTCTAATTTGAGTGTTCTATGGTTTTCCCTTTTATATCACTTCAAATTGCTTTGGATGTTGGATTGTTGGCTAAACAAAACAAGCCATCTTAAGACATTTCCTTGCAATCTGAAGACATTTATGCAGTAGCATTGGGCATTATGATGATATATACCATGATACAATATAAATTTGTCAACCATCAGAGATTGTGCCATACCGTTTTTCGAGATATCTATTCCCCTGGTTGCAATTTTGCAATGAATCACTAAATTGTGACTAAATTAATGCTAATAAGCATTCCCAATATTCTTTGGCATTTTATAGATGAAAAGAAAATGGATCAATTGAAAAACTAGATTAATCACTAATGAAACATAGTTAGATACAGCCCTTGCTGGCTTCAACATTATTAGAAAAGTACATAATACATTGGACAATATGCAAGTATCAATAACTGTCATGCAATTTAAAGAACTTCACTCTCTTCCCCTTGCCAGGTATGAGAGCCACTGAAAAACTATTTCTTTAAAATTTTATTCATAATTCACAATTCATCATACAAACTGGGAAAAGGTCCCTGGGAGACCCCTGCAAAACAGAAGATAGATAGGTGCAAGGACTTAAAGACTGCTAAAGAATGGATGCTGTAGTTTTCTTGTCAGTATAGGTTGAAGTAAATGGTCACTGAAGCTCAACTCCGAGACATTTAATTGCTTTAAAATATACAAATCTAAGATAACCCGCCTCATCAGGAACCTTGAAATTGCCTAAAAAACTGCTGAGCTCTAACTGTTGTGCAAAAATCAAGTCACCTTCACATTGTAAAGTTTTACCCTGAATACACAGCATGGAGGATCAGACAGAACAGTAGAAGGAAAACATGCAGTAATGAGATAGTTTCATAGCTACTTATCCTCTCATCCATCCTGCTCTTACCCCCCCCCCCCCCCTCCCTCCCCTTCTTTTCCTATCCTAGCAGGAGGTCACTGAAGAGATGTCGCTGCCAAATGACCCAATCATGCCGGCAGACACAAACAGCTGACTCAGGGGGAAAAAAAGGGTTGTACTGGAGGATTCCTATTGCAAGGCAGCAGGAATCTGTGCTGGAGGGGGGTGGTATAAGGAGACAGTGGGGTGGAAGGGAAACGGGGTGTGGGGGTGGGATCAAGAAGAGCGAGTAGGGGGTGCTGGGGTAAGTTGTTCATTTCTGGAACGTTGCTCCAGTTCCACTCGGGAATGATGGAAATATTCTGCGTAGCCAAACCCAGAGTGGAAGGTGTATGGTAATCATGTCGGGGAAGGAATGCCAAATATGTGCGTGAGAACGAAGCTGTGACCTGAGAGCTGCAGGAATTATGGGCCAAAATCCCACAGACCCAGAGGAAGCACACACACCCATATCCAACACATACAGACATCATATACTAATGGTGCTCCACCAAGCACAAATCCATCCCACATAACTTATTCCCAGAATTTGAAACATTTTACTACACTAAACTAAACCCAGAAAATTTAGAAAACCAACCCTCTCAGCAGGCAACTCCCCTCCTCCTAGTCGAGTGAATACACATTGTACAATAACCAGACGGATGTATTATAGAGCTCAACAACCCTGGCCAGATCTTTGTTATAAAAGGTGCCACTTTAAGCATCTCAAACATACATTTCTCCTTCAAAGTACAAGACTGAGTATGTGATCTACTGTAACAGGTTATTCAGACTTCAAACTTGACTACCAAAGAGTCAGAGCTCATAAACAGATCACACTGTGGGAGATAGCTGAGTTTATACTCCCACCTGGTGGCCATCCTGAACACACTGATCATTTCACTACACAGTAGTGTTTAAACTAACATTTGTTTCAAGTTAAATGGCTTCGGGTCAAAATAGTAAAAAAGTAACAATTATGAAAGTAAGTTTCTGCACACTGGAAAGTCTTACTGACAGGTGTGTAGAATCAAAACTGTTGACAGTGAATTTCTAACGCATATAAAATAGTTACAAATTAAATAAACTTGACTTGGATAATGTGACTTAGAGGATGAAAAGTGGCCATTAGTTATTTCCTTTTTTTTTTCTCCTTACGACTTTTGACAATGTTCTGTTCTGCATGCTTTCACTTATACAAGGTGGGTATTGTCTTTATTAACCTCTACATTTACCAAATTACCCAAAGAAGGTCTACAAGTACAAGTGATTTTTTGTGTTTTCCAGACAAATATGTAGAAAGTAAAATAATAGTAAAAAAAAAAAAAAAAAAAAAAGATTTCTGAACTACCTCCGAAAGTGCTGCGAACCATAAGATTGCCACAACAAATGCACCTACTTGTCACCCATAGATCATCATTTACATTTAACTGCAGCAACAGGATTAAGTTCCGCTACGAGGATCTTCACTGAGTTCTAAACCTTTATGACAACACACATTCCATCAGTTCTTTACAATTGTTCTCTAACTGATTGGAACTCAGTGAGCGTGTTTACATGGAGGACTAGTATCTTGACTTATGATCTGGTTATGGGAGGTTTTTTTTTTTTTTTTTTTTTTATAAATACCATGTCCTGGTTTTGAGAAACCTGATTCTAGAAACCAGGATAGTATTTGCTGGTACGAATAATGGTGGCTGAGAGGGTGAGAAATCAAGACATGGTCGTACACAGATATGGCAAAAACCTGGGTACTGTTAGAATCACATGCACAGGAATAAGGATAACCATGTTTATCGTGTTCCATGTAAACGCATCATCTCAAATAAGATCAAAATCGGGATACTACAACACATGTAAACACAGTTTGTGAAGCGTGAATGTTCTTTCTGGACCTTGGGAACAGCAGCTTGACCAAATAAAACAAAACAAAATAATCTTTACTCACGGTATTCTCTCCTAGTTTTTTCACTTGCAGATGGAGTTTGGTCAGTTGACTTGCTGACTTTTGCATCGGTCAACTGAGAAAACTCCACTCAGGAAGACCACAAGACGCTGTGATCTCCAGAAAAACAAACAAACAAAAAAAAAATAATTGGGTCTTGAGTTAAGATTTCAAACAATTTTCTTCAGTGTTTTCTGTGAAGAGACAAAATTACAAATAAATATCCAAGTTGTTTGATGCCTTACGGCCACTGGTTCCCTGCTGTTTGTAAAAAAAACCAGACTAAAGGCCTACCGAGGGTTTTATCTACATGGCAGATAAAGTCATAGCAAATCCACCCACACATACAGACAAGAACAGACAGACAATTAGACAATCATTCATGTTATAGTTGGCTCAACACTCCACCACTGTCAAGTACTTTATTCACAATAAGGTCATTTTCTTCTTTAAAAAATCATTTTTAATATACAACACAATTTTTGACAAGACAACTCCGTTTACAGCTAAATTTGAGCTCTTGAGTTCCAGCTTCTCTCATAACCAAAGCAAGCACGTAGATGACGGGTGGGAGAGAAGGATGGAGTGAAAGGGACAGATGAACAAGGGTCAAAGTTAGAAGAAAGAATGAGGAAAAAGACAGTGTGTGTGTGTGTGTGTGTGTGTGTGTGTGTGTGTGTGTGTGTGTGTGTGTGTGTGTGTGTGTGTGTGTGTGTGTGTGTGAGAGAGAGAGAGAGAGAGAGAGAGAGAGAGAGAGAGAGAGAGAGAGAGAACTACGCTTAGTATGATTTTTGTACTAAGAACCAAAATACTCAAATAAAATGAGAAAATAACAGTAATAAAAAACAGTAAGAAAGTAAGAGTTAAAGAGAAAAAAAAGCAGGTGTACCAGGATGCTGTATCCAAGGCAACCTCACATGCATGTCTGTCTGACGCTTCTGCTCTGTTCTGCCGTTTGACAAGTCCACATACACAAACGCACGCTCACGCAAACTTGAGCGTGAGCGCACCCCGTATTCCAAGCGAGTGTGCATCTCTGGGGTTAGAGGGGAGAGGGGGGGCGAGTGGGGGTGGAGAGAGAGAGACCGGGAGGTGTGAGAGGGAGCAGGGTAGTTTCTCCCTCGTTCACTCCCTCCATCTCCCATCCTTCCCTCCTTTCCTAGAGCTGAGTAAAGAGTCTGTCTCCCGCATCACAGCTCCGGTCATCCTCTGTCCAACTGTGCCACTGTGTATGTGTGTGTGTGTTTGTGTGTGCGCATGTGTGTGTGTGTGTAACATATATATAAATATATATCTATAAGCGATTCCATATCTGCTGAAACCTGGTTTGGCAGGGGTTAAAAACTGAGGAGCAGAAGCTGCTTGAAGTTTGTATCAAGGGGACAAAAGGGAGCTTGTGACTTACATATTGTCTAAGTTAATACTGTCATTAGTGTACTTTACAAAACATAAATTAGTAGTAGAAGGTGGACTTCTTGGGAGAGTTGCATTGGTTCTGTAGTAGGGAATCCTCATCAGTGTTGACCTGTGTGGGTGTGTGTGCATGTGTGTGCGCATGTCACGGTACTGGCAGGCAATGGGCACAAGTTCAAGAGTCTGTCAGAACGGGCAGGGAGGTGGAGAGGGCAGGGTGGCAGGTGGACAGAGATGACGAGGAAGAAGGAGAAGAGATGGGCTTCCTTTCCATGATGGACACACCCATCAGCCAATCAGCCCTGGGTTCTTCCAAAATATGGTGCCGTGGATGGCGCCACCTGGGGGTAAAAAAAGTCTGCAATCACACAAGGTTCTGATCAGCTGTACTGACTGAACAGAATTCTTTGAACTATGCGCACGACCTTATGTGTGAAGAAACATTTTTACAGAATCGGCCTTATTAAGTGTCAGTGTGTGTGAGATTGTACCTGCTATCTAGAAATGTAAGTGTAGGTGCGGGAGGGAGACCGTCCCTCTGACTGGCCATTGGTCGAGACGTTCAGGAAGTCCCAGATCAGAATGGTGTCGTCGTGAGAACTGCTGATGATCTGAAACTCATCAAACTGGAGACGGAACACGCGGCCAGAGTGCTCCTGAAAACACAATGAAATAATGCTATGCTATCAAGTCCACCATGAGCAAGCAGATGGCATTGGTCAATGTTCAGTGTGGTTTACAGCATTTGTCAATATGGGTAGACTAAACATTAGAATCCTCCAATATAATGCAGTACAATTCACAGCAACATGACCAATCATAATAAACTCAAAGCTGCACCTCAAAACTGTTTCAACAAAATTATGTCAGATTATGATCATAAAGGTAAGTTTATTGCAGGACTGTTGTATTAGCATTACTTTTAGCTAACTGTACCTAAAAATCTTTAATGTTTTTCAAAGTTGCAAGCAAGATAGACATTAGAAGTGAAATTAACTACTAGTTTTGAGTTTTTTATTTTACAATCCTATCCAGAATTGAAGAGTGCTAATAAGGAACTGTAGTTTGAGACACTTGTCACCTGGCTGACTGATGGAGCTCATTCACAACAGGCAAAAATCAGTGATACTCACCACTAGAGTGCGCAGACATAATGTGCTGGCGGGGGCTCGTGGGTCCAGGGCTGCCTGCAGGTCCCACACCTTGATCTTGCTGCAGGGAGAAACATGAGACGTCAGAAACAGAATGTGTCTTTGTGCACAAAGCTGTGTGTGTGCGCGCGGGAGACTGACCCGTCGTAGGCACCGCTGACAATCCTTTTGTTGTCGAAGCGAATACAGCGCACCAGCTCCTCGTGACCTTCCAGCACTCGCAAACATGCCCCGCACTCTATGTCCCATAACCTGGAGAAAGAGAAGCCTTAGCAAACACATGGCAGGATACAGTCCCTACACTGATTGTTTAGTTTTCACAGTAAGTATTATTTGAAACAGTGACATGTGTGTCATGAAATTGAACACTCAAAGACCGATTGGTCTTATGTGTATCTTAAATAAAAGGTCAATCTTCTTCTATAATTTGAAATACAAATATTATATAATATGCATTATAAGTCATACACCTTTAATCTCACTCACGTACCGGATTGTGTTGTCAGATGAGCCGCTGACCACCAGACGATCTCTGTACTGTAGACAGGCAATGCCCCGCTTATGACCATTTAGAGTGCGCACAAACTCACAGGTGCTGGTGCTCCATACCTACAGGGGAAACACGGAAAGCTTTTTAAAACAATGGCCTGTATTAATTCAAATGAGTAGAACAACCAATTTCAAACTTAGACACTCACTTGTAAGGTTTAAAACTATACAAGTTTGACATTTCTAGGTTAACTCGTACCTAAATACAACTTTCTAATGTCCACCTTTATTCTATTTTTCATACTGCAAGTTAGTCAATTTCTTTCTAGGCAGGCTTCTAATCAGAGTCTCTGGTTTGTACTCATGAATGGCTGCTACCTTGATGGTGCGGTCCCCTGAGGCGGACACGATGTATTTGTCGTCGAAGTCGACCACGTTGACGGCGGCCCGGTGTCCCACAAGGACCCGACGTAGGCTGATGTCAGTTGGGGAGGCCATGTCCCATACGGCAATTGAACGGTCCTTGGAGCAGGTGACCATCAGGCCGTTGGCAAAACGCAGGTGAAGAACTGCCTCGTTATGGTGGATCAGTGTGTTCAGTACCTCCCCCGTCGTCACCTCCCACACCCTGCGGAGGAGAGGGATGGAGGGACATGTGTAGGGACAGATGACAGGGTGGTCGAATGATGGGGTCAAAAGGTGACAGAGAGAGGAAAAGAAGAGGCGGAATGGGGCAGGAAGAACAACAGGATCGTGGAATGACAGAAGGGGTGTGAGACAAAGAAGGAAGAAATGACAAAGGGGTGAGAAAAGTGGAAAAGGACAGGAGGAAGAAGTGAGTGGTAAGAAGGTTGAAGATGGAGAGCGGAAAAGACATGTAATGGGAGCAGAGGAAAAAGTAAAACAATGAGACATGAAAGAGAATTATGTTTATTAGTTTTACAATAGAGAGTAACTGCAGAGTTCACACATGTGTGCAGCTATGAAGAACATGTTACTGAAGTGCACCGCCATTAGGAGTCAAATACAGAACACAGTGGAAAAGCTGACAACCAAAGCCTACAAACAAAGTGCCTGTCAAGCGGTTGCTAAGGAAGCGAAGTCACATTTTCCTTGGATACCGCCCAAAGAGTACGGCTGAAGTGTGAAGTAATAAGAGAATTAATGTTGAGCTTCTGTGTGCAGTAGCCAAGCAAGTGTCAACACACACACACACACACACACACACGCCAGGTCTTTAAATATCTGCAATAAAACACATTACACTATCTCTAGTACTGATAGTAAAAAAGCTTTAGATTTACTACCATTTGATATATTTAGGAGGGCTCTTTTTTATAAAGTTCTATCTTATTGAAATTAATTTTATATTCCAAATGTTCATTGCTTAAACTTTACCTGTTAGATACCAGAGATGTTTTTAGCATGAGATATTTTGCATAATGAAATGATTAAACACAACAGCCAATGTTTCAGGTTGTAAGAAAATGTCAGTGCATTTTGCTGTGTGCGTGGATGAATTATTCCTAATTTCTAGGGATGCAACGAAATAAAAATTCTTGACCGAAACCAAAACCGAATATAATGAAAAACTTTACCGAATAAGATTTTTTTTTTTCAACATTCTTTTCCATTTATTTTGCCAATTTTTTATTGTTGCATAAATTCAATAGTCAAAATGTGCTTTTTCCTCAGTGTTTTCCCACAGGATTTGGAAAGACTATGGTGGGTAGATCCGAGGCCTGAGAGGATCCAATAAAGTAAGTTACATGTTCCCATTTACTTTTAATGGACACATAATATGTTTTATACTTCCTGTGAATATAATCCAATTAATCTTATTTCCATACTGTATAGCCACCTTATTTTGAAAACCGGATGTTGCCACATGTGTATCCTCGTGCTAAATTCATCAAGTCCGACCCAATTTGATAAATAATGTTTGTGGTTCTCACGTCGCGCAACGTGAAGACTTCATGACCTCTCTTCAGGTAGGACTCTCATTCGGCAACACTTGTCTTTGTAAAGAGAGAAAATGACAGGATAAAGTCGCTAACCTGCCAGCTCGCACTGGGCCGTTTGGTCCAGTGGATTTACCATAAAGGCTTGAATATGGGTGCACTCCAAATTTAGGTGCGTCTCGCCTTCTCAGAAATGAGTGACAAACACTCAAAGCGGGTCAGACCGTTTGTTGTCTTTTCTCAGAAGTCAGCCACAGATGGGAGTGGATGTGAGAGGAGACAATTCAGCAGAAAAGTGTCTGCCAACGGGGAATTGTTGCATCTGGCTCTTTTAAAATTCTTACAGACTGCTCACATGTCAACATAATTGTTTGGTAAAATTTATTCAGTTCTTTGACTTACTAGGCCGAACACCGAAAGTGCTTTTTTTTTGCTATTTGCGGACGATTAATTTCGGTTGCCAAACATTCGGTGCATCCCTATTATTTTCTACAGATGCACTCTATTTCGACAATCTGGCTACTTCAATAAAAGAGGGGGAAAAATTTAAACCAATTCAAATCAAAAGACTCCACCTATTAGATGGGAAATATTAAGGATCTGTTAAAACAGATGGTCATGGATGTGTTAAGTTCCAGTTTGTATAAAAACCTCTATATTAAAAAACAGTCAAGTTAATTGCCCAGGTAAAGAAATACTGTATGTTCAACTTATTAGTCAAACTAAATGGCACTAAAATCAACAATTTATTATTGATATGTATGATTTTATCATTTAAGTATCTCTCTCTGTATCTGA